CATTTACAAAATTCACCATTTATAGGTCATGAGAAAATATTAATAAGTTTAATAGGCAGAAAATTTATAGTTGACATTCTTGACAAATTGTCAAGAAAAGGGAGGCATTAACAAAAAATTCAAAACCAAAACAAATATGGATCCCACGTTTCCACCTTCATTTTGCTTCAAAGAGAAAATTGAACTGTAATTAATGACTCTTTTCAGGGATTTAATCCCACTGGCAGATTGAGCACTCCTGTCTTTCTTTCTCCTTATTCCTGAATCCTTTAAGTTTGACAGAAAAAAATATAGATGTTGTAAAAAAAAAAAAAAAAGAATAATCCACAACACTGGAAAACAAGAAAAAAATGCCATACAATCTTAAAGAAATCCTGGAAGATAGAGAACAGGTGGGAAAGAAGTCTACCATCCATGAAATGCATGAGGGAGGATATTGCAAAGAGCGTACAGCCGGAGAAAGTCAGAATGAACACATGCTAAAAAGAGGAAGAAGCCCTGGCGTTACACTTAGGAAGACTAATTATACAACAGTATTCAGAACAGAACGCCCGCCATGTTTCTCACTCCTCGTTCTTTTTTTAAAATTTAAAAACACTTTTTAATTCCAGTTGACATCCAATTAAATTAATTTCAGGTGTACAGCATAGTGGTCAGATATTTATATAACTTACTAAGTAATTCCCCCCCAATAGATGTTCCTCATTTTTTGTTGGTTTTGATTCGCGAGGATAAAGCACAGTGAGGTTAAGTAACCTGCCCAAGGTATTCGGTGGGAAAGCAGAGGTTATCTGACAAAGGCTCATTTCTCACTAGTGCATGATACCATGTCTCATAGATGAGTGTTCAGATTTTCATTACGTAAAAGAGTCTTAAAAATGAATAAGCAAAAGACAAACATCCACGTAGAATAAAAAGCAAAAGATATAAACAGGCAATTAGGTCAAATGTGCAATAAATACAATAAAAAACATGGTAACCCATTAGTCGTTGGAACAGCGCAAATGAAGGCAACTTAATAACATGTTTGCCTATCAAATTGGCCACGAGAGAAATAATAGCAATAATCACAGATGCTTCTGCTGGAAATGTAAATAGGTCGCAATGTTGCGGAGGCTAACTTAGTGATNCACCCTATCCTCTGGCCACACCAAGCGTCCTTCCTGTCTCAATCTCCCATGCCTTTGGCTTTCCCGTGCTGTTCCCCTGCATAGCTAATGTTGGATTTCTCTTATGCTTCTTCTCCATCATTTATTTCAGAAGCAAAGCTGTCTCAATCAGTGAACAGAAAAAAGAAAGTAAGGTTGGATTCTGGAGAGCAGTCCCCCCAAATCCCACAGAGTTGCAGATCAGAAAAGATGCTTGAGTTCAGCCAGGTCAGGGGGGCACATCAGTGTGTGGTCCCTCTGGCTGTCAGATTTGCTTAGCATGGTCTTTGGGAACACGTGTCTCCCAGCTCTGCCCTGATGCTACCAGGAACACAGGCCCACATGTGGCTGTGTTTACCTGGAGGATGACTTTGCTCTTTTGCTATCCCTTCAGCTCAAGGAATCATTTCTCCTTTGGGGGAGGAGCCTCTTGATGCTAAAGAGTCAGAGAGGAGATGAAGACCTATCAACAGTGGTGACTCAACTAATAAAATGTCATAATTCAGTGGGATCTATTGGTCTTTCCCCTGTTGTTCTCAGATAAGTGAACCGTACGTTTCGACCAAAGCGTTTTTCCTTAAACCTGACGTGGTTTACCACCTGCTCCTCTTACTTCTTTCTTTCCAGCTCTGCCATTGCTCTTTTTCCTACTCCTTCAGTTATTCAGTTCTTCCTCCTTTTCAGGATGTTTCATGCTCCACTTCTTTCCCATACCTTCTCTTTGTGTCTGTGTTCACAATTCCCCATCCTTCCCCTCTCCAGCTTCATACTCTGCCTTCTAACTACCCTTGTTTTGAATAGTGATTAAAATTTCAGGCTGATATTAGGAGATCCAAGTGGGATCTGCTCTCAACAGACAAGTAACTGGGTGAAAGTTACTCTGCTCTTTAATTTCCTTATGTGTCTCATGGGGATAATAATGACTTCACAAGATGATTTTAAATGTGACATGAGATAATCATGTAAAGTGCCTGAGATGATGTCTGGCACATACCAAGCACTAAAAGAAAAGAAAAAAGATACTTATTATTATCCATCCCAGCCACTATTCTTCCTCTCTGGCCTCTCTGGCTTTCCTTGTCCTTCTGTCAGAAAGAATCTCTGTAACTTTGCATTTCTGTCATGTCCTGAATTCCCTAGAGACTGTTCAGTATGCTAAACTGTACAATTTTCCCTAAATTCATAGAACAGGTCAGACACAAACATTTGTGTCCTCTATAAAGTCATCTTAGACAACCAAGGTCAGAGGCAACTCTTCCTGTCACGTCTGTGAGAGAGCATGGCCCGTACCTTCCCAAAGAGAAAGTGGGCAATTAAAGTACGTATTCCACAGCGCTGAAAACCAACCCCCAACTTTCAGCATAGCAACTGCTCTCACGCTTTGATAGCCTGAAAAGTATTCAGGAAGCCTCATACCACTTCTGAAGCTCTTGAAAATCTTCATCAGGTTGGGGTATTCACGCAGGTTAATTTGGCTGAACAACATCTCCAGAAGTGACAGATGAAATGTCTTCTCCAGTTTGGTGAGAATGTTGTACACCACGTTGGATACAGGGACCAGATTTCTGCAGGCTTCCAGAGATTCCTTAAGAAAGGTAGTGAAGGGTTATTACATATGATTATAAAGTGGAGTGGAGGTTTATTAGACGTCTGTGATTTTTCTAAGTCGTAAGAAAGCTACCCTGCTCTTTTAAGAAGAAATTTAACACAAAAATGTATAGTCAAATTCTGTAATGTAAAGAAGTCACACATCCACGTTGTTAGCTTTTGGAACGTCCCATATATTTTGATAGTTAGTCACAGGAATAAATAAGTTAGCCTTCTATAAAATAAGCCTGTTTTGTCAACCTTATTTTAGGTACATTTGAGAGAAGAGAGACATTTTAAGGAAGGGAAGTTCAGTCGAAGGCTGCTATGGTGTAATTAATTCTCCAAGGATCTGGGCAGGATGCTTCAGCAATGGACCTAATATTTGGTTACTAGTGGCAATTCTGTTGATTGCTTGTTAGTCTCTGTTCTCTCTCTCTAGGACTTTAGGTGGCTTGAATGGGCTCCAGCCATAGGGAAATCATCCAGAGAACTCTCCGCGATGAGAGGATGGCTAAAAGAAGAAACATGGCAGGAAAGAATTGATTGCGAAATGCTTATTGAACACCTATGAAGCTAGTCCTTGGGTACAAAGCAATGGAGATCAACATGGTGCTACCCTTACTGGGTGAGACTCTGTCAGGGGGAGAAGATGGGTATTAAACAATAAGCAAAAATTAAATGAACGCCCAACTATCATTGAGGTAAGTTTTATTAAGGGAGCACATAGCTTTCTAAAGGGGAAAATAATGAGGGGGGTCTTAATTAGATTAGTAGGTCAAGGAGGCCTCTTTGAGGAGTAATATCTGGGCCGTGATCTGGAGAGGACTTGGAGCCAACCAAGCCAAGGCTGTAGGGAGATGGCCTACCACTGCCAACACTTCCCTTGCCTCAGGAATTGCTTTAAAACCCCCAAATTATATGAAAAGAGTGCCATTTTGGTCCACATGGTCATATCTCCCATTACCTGCCTTGCTTCACATCAGAATGAACTATGGGTGACAAGCTCTTAGGAATTAGAATGGTGGTGCCATTAGTGGGTTAAAGGGCATCCCCTCCCCCCAAAGATAAGTCCACTTGAACCCTGTGAATGTGATCTTATTTCGAAAAAAAGGTCTGATGATATAATTAGTTAAGGATCTTGAAATGAGATTGTCCTGGATTGGGACGGGCCTTAAATGACAATAAGTGTCCTTAGAAGAGAGACAAAGGGAGAAGACACAAAAAGGATAAGGAGACCTAGAGATGGAAACAGTGATTGAAATGATGGCTCTATGAGACAGGAATACCAAAGATTGCTGGTACCACCAGAAGACAGGAGAAGGTCAGGGAACGGGTTCTCCCTCAGAATCTCTACAAGAAACCCACCCTGCCAACACCTTAATTTTGGATTGCTGGCCTCCAGAACTGTGACAGAATACATTTTTTTGTTGTTTTAAATCACCTGGTTTGAGGTCACCCTATGACATCCTCTTTCCTGATAATAAACATTTGGGACCTTCCAAAATCTAGAGGCCCTGGGGGCTTGTAGTTTGAGACCTCACTAGTCAGGCATTCTTGGTGAGTGCTAGGCTGCCATGGGAAAGGGGTCAACATGACTCACCCTGTACGTATTCTCGGTGATGAAGGATTTATCTCGGAGGCCTTCGAAGAAAGGAAACGGCTTGTATATGGCATAGGAGATCTCCAGCTTCTGGCACATGAAGTGCTGGAGAAGAGCCTCTTCCAAGGCCCGTGTCATGGTGAACATCCTATGGACGAAACATGAGAAGAAAAGAGAAGCAAAGACTTTGAGGAGCTTGGGAAGCTGCTTTCTATATTCAATGGGCATCTCAAGGCAGGCATTCTGGTCCCCAAGGCATTCCTCTGCCTCAAACGTCTCAACTCAACGTCTCAACGTTGAGTTCCTCTGCCTCAACGTCTGCCTCAAACACTCATGGGTATAGGAAACAATGACAACGTCCAGCGACAATGGAGACTGAAAGTGACTGACAATGTGGCACCGAAATCCCAAAGGGGCTTCTGGTAAACATCAGGCACATATTAAAAGTAGCTAATATTTATCAAGTGCTTCCTGTGTGCCAGATTTTGCTCTAAGGGCTACAAATGCAGTAACTTATTTGATCTTCACAAAACCCTTGCAAGATTGTTACTATGATTGCACCCGTTTTTACTGTCAAGGACACTGAGACAGAGAGAGGTTTAATAACTCACCCTAAGTTGTGCAACTTGGGAGCAGTACAGGTGAACAAATCCTGACTTTCTGGTTCTTGGCTCATAGTCAAAGTACTATGGTCTGTGGCTACATTGAGCTGAGTTGAGATTGCCTGGACTGCAGCTGAAGGCACCTCCTCCCCCCCACAAAAAATGCTCATGTAAAAGGCACCACCCCCAAACAGGTAGAAAGATGGAAACTTGATAATATTTAGAAACTTTAATAAGCCATCTACAATCTTCAACACACAAAGAGATGAAACAGAAATAAAAACATACAGAATATA